ATTCCTCTACTCTCCATGTCTTAATTTCTTTATTGAGGTATAAGTGATATACAGCATTGTAGTTTTTGACTATACAATACAGTGATTGAACAGTTATCTATGTTATTAAATTCTCACCATGTATCTTAAAACATAAGTTATTTTTAAAATTATTAAAAAATGTAATGCAGTTGTAGTTGAATGTTTTGCTTGAATGTTTTTTTTTTTTTTGTCTAATGACTGAATGATAGTGAATGTGTGGTAATAAGTTTAATGCTATGAGAATTGGCTGAAATTTTACAATAGTGCTTCTAAGCTGTAAGCTCAAAAAGGAAAATCTAAGTTGAAACTGTTAATGAAAAGCCAGCTACAGCTGACACAAAGAATAAGGGAGATGTGTGTAAGTGTAATGTACACAATGCATGCAACTCATGTGACTTTGACATATTCTGTGTTATCAAAAGAGTGTGGTTTCTAGAAGGCAAAGGAGAACATTTTTCAGTAAACAAATCTGCAGGTTGGATATCAATATGCACAAGATTGGCATTGGACCCTACCTCACGCTAACACAATATGTAAATGGATCAAAGAAAGACCTAAACAGTCTACCTAAGTCTATGAATCTCTTAGAGGAAAACATAGGTTATAGCTCTGTGGCAATGGATTTGGTGATACTTCTTTGTTATAAAACCAAAATAACAGGAAAAAGAGAAAAATCTGACAAATTGTACTTCATCAAATTTAAAATATGTGTACATTGAAAGGCACTATCAGGAAAGTGAAAGGCAATCCAATGAACGAGAGAAAATATTTGCAAATCATATTTCTCCATGCTCCCTGGGGGGACGAGTGATGAGGCAAGTTTCACTTTAATTTAAAGTTTTTCTATATTGCTTGATATTTTATACACATAAAATATGATAGTATTAAAATACAAAAGAAAATAGAAGGAAAGGAAAATAAAACAGTATTCATGACTTAAGATGTACTACTGAGTTTAATTTTCAACACTTCAATTCAAATTTATTTTCCACTGAAACATTAATGCTTCAGTGAATAGAAAGGCACCATGTGGAGGTATTCAGGGTGGTGCTGTGTTAGGTTCATGACAGAAAAGTGCTAGGACAAGAAATTACCTTTCTGAGTGGTCCTAAAGATGGGAATATAAGGTTGTTCTCTGATCCCTGATGGAACGTTTTCTCTCTTGACCATTTCTTCTAGTTAATTCCCACCCCAATTATATAACCATGAACTCACGTGAATGCAAAAGTTAAATTTGAACCAATGCAAGTGGCTGAATGGAAACGGAGAACTCAGCAATCACACAGGAATTGTAGAGAAAATTAAGCACCTTGGTCTTGGAAAAAGCAGCTATTCTTGAATGAAACTGGCTTTGAGAAAAGATAGTGAAGTCAGTCCTTTGCTTCCACTCTTATGAGAACTCAGAATTGAGGGATGGAACATAAAATGTGCCCCATCTCAAGGCACCCACCGAGATCTTCTCATTTTATACTTAATTGCCACATTTAATGAATAGGAAGAAAAAAGTTCAGATGATGTTGAGGGATAGATTTACTCAAGTAGTCTTCATCTGCTGTCATCAGGAAGAAGGAATTTTGAATTTGTCATCTGTGTCTCCCGTAGTCATTGTTGAGGATATTTCCCATCCATTCTGTTTCAAGAACAAGAGTATCAGAGAATGTTCTGCTGATTCTAGATGCCACTGGGTACCCAGAAGAGCCATGTTTTGTTAAATGAAAACTAGAGTCAGGGAGACAAAACTTATGCATATATTACATACATATGTATATATTTACATTATATATATATTTACATATAGTATTTTGTATATATTTGTTTTATACATACAAATATATGTATATATACACACACAATGAGGAAAGAGCCTAGATTCATTATTATGTAATTAGTGGAAAGCTAATTTTATTACAGAGGCAAGATCACTTTTGTGGTAGTATTTAATATGAATTCAGGAGAGTTTCCCACAAGGAATTGCTCTACAATGGATAGTCACGCTGGGAAGACATGGACTATTAATACATGTATTTTTTATTAACATATAATTGATATATGATATATTTGCTTCAAATATGCAGATAGTGATTCAACAGTTATATACATTATTAAATCTTCATCCCAGCTAATGTAATTACCATCTGTCAACATAGAAAGATGTAACAGAACTACTGACTACGTTTTCTGTGTTGTACTTTCATCCCTGTGATTAATGTATATTATGATTGAGATTGTGTTGCTCTTTATCTCCTTCTCCTATTTCACCCACCCATCCTAACTCCTCCGCAAAGTAACCACAAGTCACTTCTCAGTGTCTATGAGTCTATTGTTGTTTTGTTTTTATGATCAGTATGTCAAATCTCAGTTAAAATATTTAGCATCACAGTGTCTTGCTTCTCTTTCTGCTTCTGCCTGTTCTGTATCATCTTTAATCTCTTTTGGGACACTTAAGAATGTGATACCTTTTTATTTTATTAATTTTCTGTCATTTCAGCCTTAATAATGTATCTTACTGTAATGATACAGCACCTTTGTTGATGCAAAACAAACAGACGTTGCTCTAGCCTTTTTTCTCAGGGACCCCCAGCATCTAAATTATTATGGTTTCACTCAGAACTCTGAGTCAAGTAAGACAGAAACCACTCTCCAAGAAGTTCATTCCAGTGTCAAGATGTTGGAAGCATGTTCTACACCTAACTTTCCATCCCAAGGCAGAAATGTTTATGCAGTTTCCTTGCAGTCCACTGGATAGGGAAGGGCCCGGCTAAGGAAGGGGCTCTGGTTCGTAAATGCAGTGTACATTTTCCCATATTGTTTCTTCTTTGTTCTTGGCTTTGAGTCCATCTTGGAACTGCACCCACTTAACTGTTCTCTAGTGTACAAATATTCAGTTTGGTCCATATCCATGTGTTATTATTATTCAGTATGTTCTAATCAGTTAAGGGTCTTGGCAATTCCCATACCAACTTGATCTGATCAGTGTATCTTTTGAAAATAAATTGAGGTTCTAGATGTTTTATTATTGTAAAACTAAACAACTAGTTCATTTGAATCAGAAATTCAGATAGTTCATGTCAAAATTTAGCATCTGAAAAAACAATCATTTCAACTCAGGATAATAAAAAGTAGAATGTTCAATAAAACATACTGAAGTTAACAGTGGTGATAAGAAAAATGATAGTAAATATCAAATAATATATGAAAATAGACATTTGATTGAATCACAAAGTTCAAAACTAATTTCATTAAAATATTTGTGAATGAAAGTGTTAGTTTATAAAAGGAAAAAGTGTCGTTATGAGACTACTAGCAGACTGAAAGATTTTCACTCACTATTAGCAAGACATACCTTATTAAATCTCTGCCTTGAGATTGAATCTAAAAATGAATGGTTACCAAATAGCATCTTGATGTGTACTAAATTTTTATGTCCCTTCCAAATAAACATAAATCTAATCCCTTATGTTATACCATTTGAAAGTGGAGCAATTGCGGCAGAATTAGGTCATGAGTGTACAGCCCTCATATATAGTGGTAGCGCCCTTATATAAGGAAGCCAGAGAGCTAACTATCTTTCTTTCACTATGTGAGGAGACAGTAAGATGAAATGTTCTGTGGTTTAAACTACCAAATATAATTCAGCACAAATTTTCACCTCTCATCTTGCTGTTCCTACAATGAGTGAATTCTGTTTACCCACCTTCTAAAAATCAAAACTGAACATCCTGAGAACAAGTAAACATTGACTGACCTTCTATCTATTTTATAATGTGTTTCAGCTACTGTTTTTATCCTTGATAAATATCCTTTTATGGGTTGATCTCACTCTACTTTATCTTCTCAATTTAGTTTATCTTACTCTATTTTCTGTTAAACTAAATTAACAATTTTTAGTTGTAATCCTTCTACTCAATATAAAATGAATTATCATTTGTATTTTTCAACTTATAAAAAATTGAAGAATCGTGGAAGCCAAGTTTAGGATATAAAAGTAAATGTAAAATAATAGGCAGCAGAAAATAATAATCTTATAAAAATTACATATCATCATCATCAACATTTAGGAAATTTGATGTTGAAGGAACTCAAATAATTAAAATTTGATTTTGTTTTAACCAAATTTAAAAACTACATCATAATGTGAAAATAAAAATAACAATGAATAATATATTAATTTCTTATTATTTCTTTGTAATATGTGCTAATACATTCAAAATTTGACAAAAACCCAGATTTTTTTGTCATATTGTGAGAATTTGATAATAGGAAATGCATGTTTTTTCCAACAGTCCTCATCTTTTACTAAGAATTTAGTTTCATTGTCTGCATAACTGCTCCTACAAGAAACGCTAAATTTTCTGAGGTGTCTGGCAGTCCATCCTCCTTTCTGGATTTGCCAGTGTAGGATCCATTTCCTTGCCTTTTATAACCTCTGGAAGCTGTCAATGTTCCTTGTTTGCTTATCACTTTCCATTTTTAAAGGCAACATGTAAAAACATCCTTCCATATACACATCTCTTTCTCACAACAGCTTGAAAAAGTCTTCCAGTTGTACAAGCCCATGTGACTTTGTTAAAATCATTTGAATAATCCAGTATGATTTCTCTGTCTTAAGCTTCTTGATTTAATCGCATCTGAAAAGTGGGTTTTAACACACAAAGTGACATAGTCACAGACCTGTAGGTCTAGGGCATGGAGATCTTTCATAGGCTATTCAGAATCCTGTAAAGTGCTTCATAAGCCTGGTTGACATGTACAGACTCTAAATAACAAATATGTATCTCTTGCAGGTTTTGAGATAATGATCATTGATAAACAATCATGACAATGTCAAATATACTGTAGCAAATTAAATAAGCATTTATATAATACATATATTCATATAAAAAGAAATAGAGAGCTATTTACCTTTGATTATAAAGAATCTATATAATTATGAATAACATGTAATTTAGCTTTTCTATGCATAGTTTTATTATTTTCCCCTAAAACCAATAATGGCTTAGTTTCCATATAATCTTCCTCAAAGCTGCCTTGATTTCCTTGTTTCTTAGGCTGTATGTTATTGGGTTCAATGATGGAGGCAATACAGAATAGAAAACAGACACCAAAAAGTCCACAAGTTGTGGGGAATCAGGGACTGGTCTTAGATAGGCAATGGCTCCTGTCACAAAAAATGTAGTCACAACTATGAGATGTGGTATACAGGTGGAAAAGGCTTTTGACTGCCCTTGTAATGATGGCATTCTAAGCACTGTATTGAAAATAGAAACATATGAAAATCCAATGGATATTAAACAGAGAAGTCCATATATTACTCCAACTGCCACACTAATATCAATAGTGATATGAGTTTTTGAACAAGAAATCTTCAGAAGGGATGGTACATCACAGAAAAACCTAGGGAGTATTCTGGAGTCACAGAAGGATAAAGAGAAGGTTCCACCTGAGTATAAGACCCCAAAGATACTCCCAGTGAACCAGGAATAAACTACCAATCTCACACAGACTGCTTTACTCATGATGATGTCATAATGCAGTGGGTGACAGATGGCCACGTAGCGGTCAAAGGACATGGATGTTAGAATGAACAGCTCAGCCCCTGCAAAGTGAACCACCAACAAGACCTGTAGAACACATCCTGGTATAGGGAAGGGCCCGGCTAAGGAAGGGGCTCTGGTTCGTAAATGCAGTGTACATTTTCCCATATTGTTTCTTCTTTGTTCTTGGCTTTGAGTCCATCTTGGAACTGCACCCACTTAACTGTTCTCTAGTGTACAAATATTCAGTTTGGTCCATATCCATGTGTTATTATTATTCAGTATGTTCTAATCAGTTAAGGGTCTTGGCAATTCCCATACCAACTTGATCTGATCAGTGTATCTTTTGAAAATAAATTGAGGTTCTAGATGTTTTATTATTGTAAAACTAAACAACTAGTTCATTTGAATCAGAAATTCAGATAGTTCATGTCAAAATTTAGCATCTGAAAAAACAATCATTTCAACTCAGGATAATAAAAAGTAGAATGTTCAATAAAACATACTGAAGTTAACAGTGGTGATAAGAAAAATGATAGTAAATATCAAATAATATATGAAAATAGACATTTGATTGAATCACAAAGTTCAAAACTAATTTCATTAAAATATTTGTGAATGAAAGTGTTAGTTTATAAAAGGAAAAAGTGTCGTTATGAGACTACTAGCAGACTGAAAGATTTTCACTCACTATTAGCAAGACATACCTTATTAAATCTCTGCCTTGAGATTGAATCTAAAAATGAATGGTTACCAAATAGCATCTTGATGTGTACTAAATTTTTATGTCCCTTCCAAATAAACATAAATCTAATCCCTTATGTTATACCATTTGAAAGTGGAGCAATTGCGGCAGAATTAGGTCATGAGTGTACAGCCCTCATATATAGTGGTAGCGCCCTTATATAAGGAAGCCAGAGAGCTAACTATCTTTCTTTCACTATGTGAGGAGACAGTAAGATGAAATGTTCTGTGGTTTAAACTACCAAATATAATTCAGCACAAATTTTCACCTCTCATCTTGCTGTTCCTACAATGAGTGAATTCTGTTTACCCACCTTCTAAAAATCAAAACTGAACATCCTGAGAACAAGTAAACATTGACTGACCTTCTATCTATTTTATAATGTGTTTCAGCTACTGTTTTTATCCTTGATAAATATCCTTTTATGGGTTGATCTCACTCTACTTTATCTTCTCAATTTAGTTTATCTTACTCTATTTTCTGTTAAACTAAATTAACAATTTTTAGTTGTAATCCTTCTACTCAATATAAAATGAATTATCATTTGTATTTTTCAACTTATAAAAAATTGAAGAATCGTGGAAGCCAAGTTTAGGATATAAAAGTAAATGTAAAATAATAGGCAGCAGAAAATAATAATCTTATAAAAATTACATATCATCATCATCAACATTTAGGAAATTTGATGTTGAAGGAACTCAAATAATTAAAATTTGATTTTGTTTTAACCAAATTTAAAAACTACATCATAATGTGAAAATAAAAATAACAATGAATAATATATTAATTTCTTATTATTTCTTTGTAATATGTGCTAATACATTCAAAATTTGACAAAAACCCAGATTTTTTTGTCATATTGTGAGAATTTGATAATAGGAAATGCATGTTTTTTCCAACAGTCCTCATCTTTTACTAAGAATTTAGTTTCATTGTCTGCATAACTGCTCCTACAAGAAACGCTAAATTTTCTGAGGTGTCTGGCAGTCCATCCTCCTTTCTGGATTTGCCAGTGTAGGATCCATTTCCTTGCCTTTTATAACCTCTGGAAGCTGTCAATGTTCCTTGTTTGCTTATCACTTTCCATTTTTAAAGGCAACATGTAAAAACATCCTTCCATATACACATCTCTTTCTCACAACAGCTTGAAAAAGTCTTCCAGTTGTACAAGCCCATGTGACTTTGTTAAAATCATTTGAATAATCCAGTATGATTTCTCTGTCTTAAGCTTCTTGATTTAATCGCATCTGAAAAGTGGGTTTTAACACACAAAGTGACATAGTCACAGACCTGTAGGTCTAGGGCATGGAGATCTTTCATAGGCTATTCAGAATCCTGTAAAGTGCTTCATAAGCCTGGTTGACATGTACAGACTCTAAATAACAAATATGTATCTCTTGCAGGTTTTGAGATAATGATCATTGATAAAAAATCATGACAATGTCAAATATACTGTAGCAAATTAAATAAGCATTTATATAATACATATATTCATATAAAAAGAAATAGAGAGCTATTTACCTTTGATTATAAAGAATCTATATAATTATGAATAACATGTAATTTAGCTTTTCTATGCATAGTTTTATTATTTTCCCCTAAAACCAATAATGGCTTAGTTTCCATATAATCTTCCTCAAAGCTGCCTTGATTTCCTTGTTTCTTAGGCTGTATGTTATTGGGTTCAATGATGGAGGCAATACAGAATAGAAAACAGACACCAAAAAGTCCACAAGTTGTGGGGAATCAGGGACTGGTCTTAGATAGGCAATGGCTCCTGTCACAAAAAATGTAGTCACAACTATGAGATGTGGTATACAGGTGGAAAAGGCTTTTGACTGCCCTTGTAATGATGGCATTCTAAGCACTGTATTGAAAATAGAAACATATGAAAATCCAATGGATATTAAACAGAGAAGTCCATATATTACTCCAACTGCCACACTAATATCAATAGTGATATGAGTTTTTGAACAAGAAATCTTCAGAAGGGATGGTACATCACAGAAAAACCTAGGGAGTATTCTGGAGTCACAGAAGGATAAAGAGAAGGTTCCACCTGAGTATAAGACCCCAAAGATACTCCCAGTGAACCAGGAATAAACTACCAATCTCACACAGACTGCTTTACTCATGATGATGTCATAATGCAGTGGGTGACAGATGGCCACGTAGCGGTCAAAGGACATGGATGTTAGAATGAACAGCTCAGCCCCTGCAAAGTGAACCACCAACAAGACCTGTAGAACACATCCTGGGAAAGAAATGCTGGCACTGTTGGATAAAGAGTTCAGAATAAATTTCGGAACTGTGACAGAAATGAGACAAGCGTCAAGGAATGATAAGTTCTTCAGGAAGAAGTACATGGGGGTGTGAAGACAGTGGTCCACAGTCACAAGGATGATAATGAGAACATTTCCCATGACAGTCACAAAGTAAATCAGCAAAAACAGAAAGACATGTAAAACCAGGAGCTCCCTGGTGTCAGAGATTTCCATGAGGAAGAATCCCATCACTGCTGTGAGGTTGGTCATGTCCTCCACTCAGAGTCACCTAACGTGGGAAAAAGAAATGCAAGGACACACATCAGATTCTTGCTAAGCCTTCCTTCCAATAATTGTTTTTTATTCCTGTAAGAATTCATCTTTGTTGTGTTTATGAGATGTGCACATTCACTCTCCTAAGTTTACATTATCAAAATGCATTAGAATGACATATTCATTGAGAATATTAAAGAATATGAACAAGCATATTTTATGAGACATGGAGCATTTATTAATAGACTGTATCTTTATAAGATTTATCCTGAATAATTAGCTGAATTTTCCAAACAAAATTGGTACAAAGAGTCATCTGTAAAGGTAGCACAAATGGAAAGAAAATAGTCACTGAATAATCTTTGTGTATGGACTTGTATTTAATATTAAGTAGTGCTATACACAGGGAGCAAAAACATTTTCCATTATGTTTAAATTAAATATATTACACAAAATAATATAAATTAAATATATTACACAAAGAAGAGAATGTAAAAAGGAGATATTAAAGTGAAACAGGATGTTTTAAAGTAATTCGTTATCATAGACATTTAATAGTTGTGATATATGATTAAAAGGGCATGAAATATGTAGGAAAATATTCACATTTCTAACCCTACAGGCTGTTCACACAGGCCCCCAAACACACACACACATAAACATACACACACATTCTCTTCCAGACAATATCTCCAGTGTTTTGCAGGCAAGATTGGAAACACCTTTTACTTTTAAAAAATGTTTGAAATAAAAATGACTATAACAAATAGAAATGTAAAACATCCTTTCATGAAAAAAAATCTCAACAAATTGGGTATAGAATAAACATATCAACATGACAATGGACATACATGATAAACCCATAGTTAGCATCACACTCAGCAATTAAAAGCTGATAGCTTTTCCTCTAAGGTCAGGAACAAGACATGGATATCTTACATTGCCCACTCTTTTTCACCATAGTACTGGAAATCCTAGCTAGAGCAATCAGGCAAGATAAAGAGATAAAAGGTATCCAAGTAGGAAACGAAGAAGAAGTACAATTTTCAAATACTAAGTCCTTATATGTGGAAATCCTAACAACTCAATCAATAAACAAATCAATATTCAATAAAGTTGCAGGATATATAATCAGCATACAGAAATTAGTTGTGTTTCTATGTACTAGCAGCTCACTATTTGAAAATGAAATAAATTATAAAATTAACTCACAATAAAATAAAAAAACAGTTAAAACAGTTAAAACATAGGAATACATTTAAGCACAGAAGTGAAAGATCTATACACTGAAAATTAAAAAGACTTTAAAAAAGAAGTTAAAAACATACAAAAAATGAAAAGATATCCCATTCTTCATGGAATGGAAAGTTTAATTTTGTTAAAATGTCTGTATTTCCCAAAGTCATGTACAGATTTAAGGCAATCTATCAAAACCCCAAAGACATTTTTCACAAAAATAGTAAAAAGAATCATAAAATTTGTATGTACAAAAGACTGTGAATACTAAAAGTAATCCTAAGAAAGTAAAACAAAGATAGAGGCATTACATATCATGTTTCAAAGCATATTGCAAAACTATAGAAATCAATATAGCATGTACTGGCATAAAAATAGACACATAGACCAAATTAACAGAATTAAAAGCTCAGAAGTAACTCTCACCTCTATGGTCAACAAATATTTGACATGTGAGTCAAGAATATACAACATGTAGTGACTAGACTCCAATAAATGATGTTGGAAAACTAGATAATCACATGCAGAACATTTAAATTCAGCCACTACCTTATACCACTCACAGAGGTTCACTCACAATGAATTAAAAAGTTAAACATAAGACCAGAAACTGTAAAATAATTACAAAAAAATCAGGAAAAACTAGACAT